TTGTATTGCAGCTCCAAGGTCTCGTACGGCGTCGAGTTCGTGGAAGAGGTCAAAGGCCACGGTGCGGCAGAGAAGATCTCTCAAAAGTGGCCCGTGGTGAGAAATTCCATTTTTTAATGACCTAAGCCTACAACATGTTCACGCGTGTTTGTTTTTTGTCGCTGCTACTACCACTGCTGTAGCGCCACTCAGAATCAAACCCTACGACACGGCCGACTCGTCAGGTGTTGTTGCTGTTTTTCGCCCCGCCCTTGCCCCGCCCCCGAGGGGGCCACGCGAACTGCAGAACATGGGTAGGTGTGGTGCGCGCCGACAGCGACACGGCCAAGTGTTTGCTCGAACCTACCTACACGAATGCAGTCCAGGAGATGCGTGTAGCTGTTCTTCGCCCCCCCCCCATCCCCCGAGAGGCGACGCGCACTGCATCAACTCCTGTCGAGTGGTACAGGCAGGTGTGATGCATGCCGGCGGAGGAAAGAAACCGTATCTTCATTTGTCTGGAAACGTCTCTCATCTGAACACGTCTTTGCTTGCCGCCTACCCGTCCGGCATGAGGTGCCCGCCACTTCGGCCTGAAGATGAGCGTTTTCTTCTCAGCCAGGGCGTTTCGGATTCCCATGTCACTTTTTTTGTATTGATTTACCTTAGCTGTGCTACCTTCGCCCTTCTGCGGGCGCCTACCCCCAGTCTCCTTGTTCCCGCAGACGAGGCGCAAGTGATAAAACATACACACACATATACACATCCACGAAAAGTACAGATACGTACAGACGTGTAGGCATCCATGTGGCTGCCTATATCTTGCTTTTCAGCTGCATGCGCTTCAGGTTTACCCGTCACGTGTGCGTGATATCTAGAGTGCTCTCCGCAGCCGTTGCCAGCGCTGGAATACCCGTATTGCAATATGATTTGTCCAGATGCATGGCTGTACGTCTTGTTCATCTTGTGTTGACACCTTTGCCCATCGATCTTCGCCCCGTTTGCTCGCCCCTGCCGCCCGTTCGTGCGGCCTCATCGCGTCAACCGTATCACCACCACGACCACCACAACGACACCACAACCCGAACCCGACCAAAAGTGCCCGTACAAGGTGGTCGTGAGGAATTTGTCCGCCAAGACCCAGAAGGCCACCCTCTACGTCGACGGGCAGAAGGCGAGCAAGCTTCTCCTTGCCCTTGCCATTATTGTGCTTTGGCTTGCTTCTCGATCATGATGTTGTTTTGTGTACATACCCGCTGTTATTGATATGTTGCAAACCATGAACGAG